CTGGGACGTCGTCTGTAAGCGTCTCGAGTCCAGCGGCTCTGAGGAGGAACTAACACCGACTCGACTGTTTAACGACTGATTCAGGGAGTTGTTGTTTTTAGCAGAAAAGCTCCAAACCACGAGACCAATGAAAACGTCCGGTGGAGCCGGATCGTGGCCGTGATCACTTCCTGTTTGGGTGTGTCTGTTTATCTCCAGGAAACAGACGCACGTGAGCCCCTCCCACCAACACGTTCATAAAAGGCAGTGTGGGTGAAGTGTGTTGCCCAATGACACAACAGCAGCAGCAGTGTCCCGGCCTCACTTCAGGCTTCAACAAACAGATTTGGCTCCTCCGTGTTTTTAAAGTCCAGACCCTCAGACTCTGGGTCACCCCTCAGTGTGACCTCTGACCCCTCTGACCCCCCCTGACCCCCTCTGACCCCCCGACCCCCCCTGACCCCTCTGACCCCCCCAACCCCTCTGACCCCCCCGATCCCTCTGACCCCGGACACAGAGGCTGGGAGGCTGGGAGGGCATCTGACTCAACACATCTGAAGCTTAAAGGTTCATTAAACACAGGATCTGTTTCCTCCTGTTTCTCTGTGAAAGTGTTGAAAACACAAAAGTGTTTCTGTCTCTGGATTTATTGGATTATTATTATTATTATTATTATTATTATTATTATTATTATTATTATTATTATTATTATTATTATTAGATTTGTTCAAACTGTGACTCTTGGCTCTGACTCGTGGTTTTTCGGCGTCTTTACGATCAACAGAACATTGGAGTTTTCAGGTTGGACTCGCGGCGCCGATGAGTCAGACGCAGGTTATTACGTGACGATAAAAGTGTAACGATATCCAAGTCTCACGATACGATATCGTCACAGTTTAAACCTCACGCTACGATATTTATTACAAAAACTCACGATTAGAGATGCAACAATCTCCAAATGTGTCTGGACCATTTTCACCATAAACATGGTAAATGGTCACATTTTTCTACAGCACTTTTCCACCTTCAAGGCTCAAAGCTTTTTACAACAAGGAACCACACACACATTCACACACACATTCACACACACATTCACACACACATTCACACACACATTCACACACCAGTGTACGCACACACTGGGGGCAAGGTGGGTTAAGTGTCTTGCCCAAGGACACAACAGCAGCATTCATCTGTGGGAGCTGGAATCAAACCGCCAACCTTCAGATCAGTGGGTGAATGTTCCACCAACTGAACCATCATCAAACATCTCACGGTACAATATTTATTCCCTTATTTTATGGAGGCTAAACAAACAAAACTGTGAATATTCTTCTTTTTCCTCTTCAGAACTAAGAGTTAAAAGTGTTAGAACTGTTATTTCTTCTTGTTGTATGCAGTGAAATGGAGCAAAGGATCATGGGAAATGTAGTTCCTCTGAGTTTTAAACAAATGACGAATACAGTATCACCATATTTGGGTTATTGTTACATCTGTACGTGACGAGCGCAGACACTGGCCCCTCCCGGCCCCGCCCCCCCCGGCCCCGCCCCCGGCCCCACCTGGCGCCTCCCTGTCTCTCTGTCTCTCGCCGCGTCTGCAGAAACTCTTCAGGAGGACGTCTCGTGGACCTTTAACTTGAGACATTTAACTTTAGAAGACACAAGTGTGGATTGTGCAACGTACAGACGAGAGAACCTGAGTCAACTCTCTCCTCTCCCCCTCCTCCCTCTCTCCTCCTCCTCTCTCCTCCTCCTCTCTCCTCCCCTCTCCCTCCTCTCCTCTCTCCTCCTCTCCTCCTCTCTCCTCTCTCCTCCTCTCTCCTCCTCCTCTCTCTCTCTCCTCCTCCTCCTCTCCTCCCCTCTCTCCCCTCCTCCTCTCTCCCCTCCTCCTCTCTCCTCCTCCTCTCTCCTCCTCCTCCTCCCTCTCTCTCCTCCTCCTCCTCTCCTCCTCCCCTCTCCTCTCTCCTCTCCTCCTCCTCCCCCTCCCCCTCCTCCTCTCTCCTCCTCTCCCTCTCTCCCCTCCTCCTCTCTCCTCCTCCTCTCCCTCCTCCTCCCTCCTCTCCTCTCTCCCCTCCTCCTCTCTCCTCCTCCTCCTCCCCTCTCCTCTCTCCTCTCTCCCTCCTCCTCTCTCCCCTCCTCTCTCCCTCCTCCCTCTCTCCCTCCTCCTCTCTCCCTCCTCCCTCTCTCCCTCCTCCTCCTCTCTCCTCCTCCTCCTCTCTCTCCCCTCCTCCTCCTCTCCTCCTCCTCTCTCCTCCTCCTCCTCTCTCCTCCTCCCTCTCTCCCCCCTCCTCCTCTCTCTCCCCTCCTCTCTCCTCCTCTCTCCTCTCCTCCTCTCTCCCCTCCTCCCTCTCCTCCTCTCTCTCCCTCCTCTCTCCGTCTCTCTGTGGCACATGACTGTGACAGGTGACACTGACACTCAGGTAAAAATACAGGTTTAAATATACTCCACAGAGCAGCGCATGTTACAGCCGCCGAGCACATTCCACAGGCTAAAGACCAGAGAAGATCAAGAGCAGGAATCTGACCCACAACCTCCAGACAAACCACTGCCACGGTCACACGGGGAGTCGAACCCACAACCTCCAGACAAACCACTGCCACGGTCACACGGGGAGTCGAACCCACAACCTCCAGACAAACCACTGCCACAGTCACATGGGGAGTCAAACCCACAACCTCCAGATGAGACCAACACTGCCACGATCGCACAGAGAGTCGAACCCACAACCTCCAGACAAACTACTGCCACAGTCACACGGGGAGTCGAACCCACAACCTCCAGACAAACCACTGCCACGGTCACACGGGGAGTCGAACCCACAACCCACAACCTCCAGAAAAAACATCCAAACACAGGGAGTCGAACCCACAACCTCCAGACGACACAACCACCTCTGCCACAGTCACACGGGGAGTCGAACCCACAACCTCCAGACCACAACCACCTCTGCCACAGTCACACGGGGAGTCGAACCCAAAACTCCAGACGACACAACCACCTCTGCCACGGTCACATGGGGAGTCGAACCCACAACCTCCAGCAGTTAAATCTGGTGGAGAGAAAAGCTCAGAGACGTTTCCTCCTCAAACGTACAAAGTTCTAACGTCGTTCCTCATCACAAACCTGAGTCTGAAGAGGTTCTAGAATCATCCATGCATGTCTGAGTAATCTAGTGATCTCTCCTGGGCCCTCTTCAAACCCTCCTTACAGTGAGCTGCAGTACGAGTCTGTACGAGACTCCGCCCACAACCATATGACACCCAATCCGATCCACTTTATTTCTATAGTGAATTAAAACAGTAAATCATAAATAAAAGAATAAATAAAAAGTGTTAAAATGCATAAAACTAAAAAAATTTAAACAATGAATCAAATCAAATGAAAAATCAGATGAAATTCAAATAAAAATGACACTGAGGGTCACACAGAGTTAAACTCCAGAGAGTAAAAGTCACACTCCCACACGACAAATCTCCGTAAAAATACAAAAACACGACACAAAACTGTGACTACGACTTCACAAACCTGGTGTGATGCAGGAGGTTCGTTAGGACACAGGACGATTTAACGAGTTTGGGAGGAGAATATTTAAATTCTGAACAATTGAATTCGGACCATTTCATTCATGATTTAAACCGTCCTGTAAACGTGGCGAGTGCTGCGCTGTGATTGGTCGGTCGGTGGGGGGGGGGGGTTCACCTGTCACGGCTCCACAGATCTGACACGTGTGGCAGCAGGAGCACATGTACGTCCATAGACCCGCACACGTGTCCCCCCCCCACGGGCAGAGACAGGGACAGCCCCTGGGGGGGGGACAGAACTGGGACTAAACCCGGACTAAACCTGGACTAAACCAGGATTAACCAGGACTAAACCAGGACTACAGACAGAACTACTTCAGGACTAGACCAAGACTAGGTCTAGATCTGGACTAAACTGGGCTCAAACAAAACCCAAAGAACACAGCCTCTATTCAGAACCATGTCAGAGTCCAGAACTAAACCAGGACTCAACCAGGACTACACCAGGACTACACCAGGACTAAACCAGAACTAAACCAGGACTAAACCAGGACTAAACCAGAACTAAACCAGGACTAAACCAGGACCAAAAACCAGGACTAAAACCAGGACTAAACCAGGACTCTAAACCACCAGGACTAAACTAAACCAGGACTAAACCAGAACTAAACCAGGACCAAACCAGGACCAAACCAGGACTAAACCAGGACTAAACCAGATAAACTAAACCAGGACTAAACCAGGACTAAACTAAACCAGGACTAAACCAGTAAACCAGGACTAAACCAGGACCAAACCAGGACTAAACCAGGACTAAACCAGATAAACTAAACCAGGACTAAACCAGGACTAAACCAGAACTAAACCAGGACTAAACCAAACCAGGACCAAACCAGGACTAAACCAGGACTAAACCAGATCTAAACCAGGACTAAACCAGGACTAAACCAGGACTAAACCAGGACTAAACTAAAACTAAACAGGACCAAACCAGGACTAAACCAGGACAAACCAGGACTAAACCAGGACTAAACCAGATAAACTAAACCAGGACTAAACCAGGACTAAACCAGGACTAAACCACCAGGACTAAACCAGGACTAAACCAGGAATAAACCAGGACTAAACCAGGACTAAACCAGGAAAACCAGGACTAAACCAGTATTAAAGCCCAGTTTCTGTGGACTCCTCCCTGTTTCAGACGATGACATCATCCGTTCAGGCCATTAACACTTTATTACAAGATTAAAACTTATAGATATTTGATTAAAATAACATTATTGATTTGTATTTAAACTTAAACCTGAACCTGGACTAAACTAAACTCAAAACTCAAAACCTTAAACAATTTTAGATACAGTTTTAGATAAATTACACTTTTTTTAAGAGTCTTATATTACAAAAAATAAAAGACCAAATGTTTGATGATTTTCATTAAACCATCATGTTTAGTTGAGGCCGGTAAAAGTGTCGGTTTGTGGCGGTTCTGGTTCGTACCTTCACTTCCAGCGGGGGCTCGGTTCGGACGGGCTCCGCGGGCCGGGGACGAGGCTCGATCTTGGGCTCGGGCTGCGGCTCCGGGGCGCGCGGGGCTCCGAGGGCCCGGGAGGGGGGCACGTCATCCCCGTAACCCACTTTGGGCTTCGGCTTCTTGGCCCCGGACGAGTCGTCGGACTTTTTCCCGAGCAGAGAAGTGGCGAAGTAAAGTGCGGCGGCGGTGAAGAGCAGCGCGGGGATGAGCACGGCGGGGTCCAGCTCCATGACGGCGGGACGGAGGCGGGAGGAGGCCGGGGGACGGAGCGAGCAGCGCGGCGTGTGCGACGGACAGACCGCGGCCACAGTCTGAGCCGCTGGAGCCTGGAGCCTGGAGCCGAGCAGCGGCGGCTCTGCCCCCGGACCCCCCCCCCCCCGTGTGCCCCCGGACCCGCCCCTGACACCCAGACCCGCCCCCTGACACCCGGACCCGCCCCCAGACACCCGGACCCGCCCCCTGACACCCGGACCCGCCCCCAGACACCCTGACCTGCCCCCTGACCCGCCCCCTGACATCCGGACCCCCCCCTGACACCTGGACCCGCCCCTGACACCCTGACCTGCCCCCTGACCCGCCCCCTGACATCCGGACCCCCCCCTGACACCCCGGACCCGCCCCCTGACACCCGGACCCGCCCCCAGACACCCGGACCCGCCCCCAGACCGCTCTCTCTCTGCCCCCGGACCCCCCCCCCGTGTGCCCCCGGACCCGCCCCCTGACACCCTGACCTGCCCCCTGACCCGCCCCCTGACACCCGGACCCCCCCCTGACACCTGGACCCGCCCCCTGACACCCGGACCCGCCCCCAGACACCCGGACCCGCCCCCTGACACCCGGACCTCTCCCTCTGTGCCTCCTGACACTCCCCCCTGACTTGCCCCCCCCCCCCCCCTCACCCACGGACCTCCCCCCACTCTGTGCCTCGCCCTCCTTACCCCAAGCCTCCCTCTCTGTGACTCCCCCCTCTCTCCTTTTACCCTGGACCTGCCCCCAGACACCCCCTCTGTGCTCCTGGACCCCCCCCCCAGACAGCCCCCTCTGTGCTCCTGGACCCCCCCCCCCCCCAGACACCCCCCTCTGTGCTCCTGGACCCCCCCCTTTCTCCTTTCTCCACTCTCTCTCCCTCCTCCTCAGTTTATCTCCCCCCGGGCCACCTGACGGAAGTGTCCTCACAGTGAAATCCCAGTGTGTGTGTGCGCGTGTGTGTGTGTGTACATGTGTCAGGAGCAGCTGTTTCGTCCTGTGTGTGTGTGTGCGCGTGTGTGTGTGTGTGTGTGTGTGTGTGTGTGTGTGTGTGTGTGCATGTGTGTGCATGTGTGTGTGTGTGTGCACATGTGTGTGCACAACATTCTATAGGGGAATATTAAGTATATTAAGGGCTCAGCTTTAATTTAAATTGTTAAAATGCAAAATTATTACAGCACAGGAAGTTCTTGGGTTTATTAACAATTATACCAAAAATACCAAACACCAAAATACTTGGTTCAAAATTTGTGCATTTACCTCCTGGATATTTCGTGGTAAAGTGCAGTGGGATCAGCTGAGAGTCCGACGTCATCACGACGGAAGGAGAGAGGGTCACAACAAACGCAAACGCCGCAACAAATACAAAAGCCACAACACAAACGCAAACGTCGCAACACATTAAAAAGCCACAACACATTAAAAATCCACAACAGAAGTGACCGCGGGACTCTATTTTCCGACGGACCGATCAAGCGGCAAGTGAAGAAGAAGAACTACAACATGAAAAGTAAAGGAACGGAGAAGTTGGAAACGTAAGTAAAAGTAATTTATTGTTTTATCATTATTCGTTTCACGTTGTAGTTCTTCTTCTTCACTTGCCGCTTGATCGGTCCGTCGGAAAATAGAGTCCCGCAGTCACTTCCGTTGTGGCTTTTTAATGTGTTGTGGCATTTTAATGTGTTATGGCTTTTGTGTTTGTGTTGCGCCTTTTTAATGTGTTATGGCTTTTTAATGTGTTGCGGCTTTTTAATGTGTTATGGCTTTTTAATGTGTTGTGGCTTTTTAATATGTTGCAGCTTTTTAATGTGTTGCGGTATTTGCATTTGTGTTATGGCATTTATTTTAATGCAAGCGCCGCAACAAATACAGAGTTCCGAGGTCATTTCCGTTGTGGCTTTTTGTTGTGTTGTCGCATTTGTTTTTGTTGCGGCGTTTGTTGCGGCGTTTGCGTTTGTTGTGACCCCTCTCGGCTTCCGTACAGAGAGGTTTGTACGGATATTTTCACAATATAAATCTCACGCTACGATATTTATTGTGATATTTTGTGGAGACGAACAAAACTGTGAATATTCTACTTTTTCCTCTTAAAATGCCTCGACAAAACTTAATCCAAAGAAGTAAGAGTTAAAAGTGTTAGAACTGTTATTTCTTCCTGTCGTCTGCACTGAAATGGAGCAAAGGATCATGGGAAATGTAGTTCCTCTGTGTTTTTAACTCTTCATTTAAACAAAGACACTTGTGATTCGATGTATTGTGATGCTCCATGATGTTATTGTGAGATCTTTGACGATACGAGATCATGATATTTGGGTTATTGTTACATCCTTATGATCCAGTATTTCTCCGTTGGTTCATCACGCCGCCCCGTCACCACGAGCTTTGAGGTTTTCATCACAAACACAAACGAAGTCGAGCCGCAGTGTCTCAGTAGAAAAAACTTTATTAACAGCAACACGTGTTTAGGCACTTGGGAGACGCAGGTGTGAACACGGAACAACGGAACAACACGCCGTTTTACAGCAGCTCCACACCCGGACCGAACCTGGACCGAACCCGGACCGAACCCGGACCGAACCGGGACCGAACCGGGACCGAACCTGGACCGAACCGGGACCGAACCTGGACCAAACCCGGACCGAACCTGGACCGAACCGGGACCAAACCTGGACCGAACCGGGACCGAACCGGGACCGAACCAGGTCTAAACCAGGACTGAACCAGGACTGAACCAGGACTGAACCAGGTCTAAACCAGGTCTAAACCAGGTCTCAACCAGGACTAAACCAGGACTAAACCAGGATTAAACCAGAACAGACTCAAAGAGATCAAACAGGACTAATGTTGGGCCTAAACTAAGCCTAGATCTATTGAAAGATTCAGAAACAGGACAAATCCAGTTGAAGTTTAGTCCCAGTTGAGTCCCGGTCAAGTCCCGGTTCAGTCCCGGTCCAGGTCCAGTGCTTTTATTTTAGCTCAGATTTTGGGGAAAAACATTAAAAACACAAAAAGAAAAGAAACGGGGAAAGACAGAGCGACACCGGACGCTTCACTGAACCGACTCCAACAAGAAAAAAAACAACAAGTAAAACCAGAGCTGTTACATCATCACCAGTTTCAGATCTGAACCAATCAAATCAAAGGAAAGAAGCGAGGGAGGAAGGGAGGAAGGAAGGAATGAAGGAAGGAAGGGAGGGAGGGAGGAAGGAGGGGAGGAAGGAAGGGAGGACGGGAGGAAGGAAGGGAGAAAGGAAGGAAGGGAGCAAGGAAGGAAGGAAGGAAGAAAGGAAGGGAGCAAGGAAGGAAGGAAGGAAGGAAGAAAGGAAGGGAGGAAGGATGGAAGGAAGGGAGGGAGGAAGGAAGGAAGGAAGGGAGGAAGGATGGAAGGAAGGGAGGAAGGAAGAGAGGAAGGATGGAAGGAAGAAAGGAAGGGAGGAAGGAAGAAAGGAAGGGAGGAAGGGAGGAAGGATGGAAGGAAGGGAGGAAGGAAGGGAGGAAGGGCCTTATAAGGAGCCGCTGGAGTGAGGCTTTGGCACAGAACGACATTAGGCACGTTTACGAGTTTACATTCGGTTTGAGCACAGAGGAAAAGACGCACGTCGCTTTTTCGCTGGAGGGTCCGTCACCTGCTCGTTTCCATGGATACGTCATCACTCTGCTCAGAATGTTCCGCAGTGTGACTTTAAACAGCTCTACTTTTTTTTAAAATGTATTCAATCTCAGGTGTTTTCATCGCTCAAAAACAAGACATTGTGACTGCGAACGGCGTCGCCTCTCCGCGGACCTGACCCGGAACCGCGTCTGGTTTGGTTTCTATGGAGACAGAAAGGTTTAATGCCATGCTGTGGAACATTTCAGACAGGAAAAAGACACAATGCAGCTTTAAAAAGTTCTGATGTGGTTTTAAAACGGCAGGAGACAGAAGCAAAAAAGCATAAATGAAATCTTCTTCTTCTTCTTCTTGTTTGAAATTTCTTCCAGTGTCTGAAGTTAAAACTGATAAAAAACTGATAAAAGAGCAAACACGTGGAGGTGAAGATGAATGTAGTGATTTAGGTTTTAAGGCGGTTTGAAAACATTTAAGGTTTAACCGTTTTCTTCTTTTTCACCTCCTGCTCTTCTCAAGGTTTTTCATGAACTGTTCAGAGTTTCTGGTGAATTCGCTCACTCCTCCTCTTCCCTCCCGCGATGCGAACCGCTCCACTCCATCGTTCCTCTAGTCCTACTGAAGCAGCGACAGGAGGCGACAGGAGGCCGACAGGAGCCGACAGGAGCAGGGGTCTCGTTTATGAAGCTTGGCGTGGACTTCTTCCCACAAGTGTCCGTACAGATAAAACCCGGTCGTCCTGAGGTGCTGGAGCTCAGGTTCACGCTGGATTCTTTTGATCACAAACTTAAAGTCACGTACGGAACATTTTTGAACTGAAGCTTTGTAAACGAGAGCCCGGGGTTGTGGGGGTCGTGGGGGTCGCCTCGGGTGTGTGTGTGTGTGTGTGGGAGGAGCTTCGTTGAGGAGGAGGCGGAGTCGTGTGTTTGTGGGAGGAGCTTGGTTCAGGTGTGGGCGTGGTCACCGTCGGGTCTAGAGGGACAGAAGTGATCATGGTTGCCACGGTAACACGTTAAGCTTCTGTTGCTATGACTGTTTTATGTTTTACTTGATATTTTGCTGAGTGAGTCCAGATGAAGACGTGTTGTTGCCCCAAACATTTAACCAAACCCGAACCTGAACCACCGGCCCTCCAGACCCTCCACCTTTCACCGTCGTCCTGGAGCCGGGTGTGTTTGTGGGAGGAGCTTCGTTCAGGCAAGGGGGGCGGAGTCAGGTGTGTTTGTGGGGCGGAGTCAGGTGTGTTTGTGGGGGCGTGGTCAGGTGTGTTTGTGGGGCGGAGTCAGGCGTGTTTGTTGGGGGCGGAGTCACCGTGAGGAGCTCCGTTCTTTGCTCACGCAGTCGTCCTGGAGGCAGGTGTCTCCGTTGGCCGTGGAGCTGCAGGTGCGGCGCTTTTTCCGTCTGTGGGACATGGACTCGCTCTCCGAACCGGAACCGCCCTGAAGAGACACGAAAAGAAGAGAAAGAGAAAGAAGAGAAATAAGAGAGGGAGGAGACAGAAGAGAGGTGATCATGTGAGAGGTTGGACTGGTACTAAATGCCTGGAATCCTGGGCTCTGGGCCTGTTTCCAGTGATGTTCTTCATAATGTGATTTCAGACGAAAAGATTAAAAACAGTCAAAAGGATTGAAATAAATAATATAGAGTTAAGAGTTTGCTAAAATGTTAACTGGATTTTATTTGTCATGTTGTTGAAAGTGTGATCGTATCATCAATAAAGGACTGAGTCTGGGATCATTTGTTTCAGTGAGTAGGGATGGGCATGATTAGTCGATTAATCGATAATTGATCATTAAGAATTTAATATAATTGATCATTAAGAATTTCATGGATTCCGTTCATTTTACTGGACAAACTGAATGTATGTGTGTGTGTCGTGACCAAACAGGTGTGTACATGTGTCTCTGCATCAGAAGGAGCGACACACAAACAGTGGGTCAGTCTGTAACGAACCGAAGCACAAATGTGGATTTAACCAGGATTTGTAGAAGAAATTCCACACTTTCCGTTGCGTTGGGACAAGTGTGAGTCCATGTGCACAGTGGATAAAGCAGCACATATGTTTCTGTGTCCAGTGGGAAAAAGTTTTTCCAGGTGAGAGTCGCTCAATGTGGATGACGAGGCCCCGCCCCCCTCCCCCCGTACGCTGTCCTGGTTTTGACAAACACAAATCTGGTCACACTGACCTGTATTCACCTGAGTCATGTCTTTTAATCCAACACAAGTTGAACCACATCAGCGACACAAGAGCTGGAGTTTTATCTTCACTTAGTTTATGTAAATTAGTGATGTGGTTTTAAGTTTTGTTTCTGTGAGATTTGAACAAAACTGAATTAAACACATTATAATGTCAAACAGCTGATGTGGATCTAGAGTCGTTATGTTTATATGTCGTAAAGTTGAATTTATTGATGCAGATTAGTGCAGATAGTAATAATAATGATGATCATTTTAATAGAAAAACGTTCATGATTAATCGATAATCGATCGTTAATTCTTCCGACGATCGATTAAGAACATTTCATCCAATGCCCGTCACTACTGGTGAGACCTTCATCCATCACTCGGGGGATTTCGTGCCGTTTCTCTTCATTGTGTTAAACTTCTACATGAGAGAAACGACACAATCAATCTCCTGACTCTTTGTCCTGGTTTTCAGAAGTGCAGCTTTCCCCGTTTCCAGGGGAACAACAATCACAGAATAAAAGACAGAACCACGAGATGAGGAAAACCACTGGACCTACATGAAGATGTTTATTTTAAACATTTGCATTGGTCCAGAGTTCTTCCTCTGACCTTCTGCACTCAGAGCGTCCTCCTCATTCTGTGTCTGTAACAGAACCAAACCCAAACCTTCACTTTGACTTCACTGTGTGGATGTAAACACTCCTCTGTTATAGTCGAGTTTCATTGTTGACAAAAGCGTGCGTTGCATGATGGGAATTATTTTGGTCGGCGGCAAGAAACACTGATTCAACATGACGGACGGAGCGAGAAAACACGTAAAGAGTATTGATCCCGGTTATTGATCCACTCTAACGGCAGACGACCCAAGAACATTTGACCACAAATTGGTCATAAACATCGACGGACGACAAATCTCCCTTTTCAACCCCGACAGAGTCTGGACCAAACCAAACTTCTGGTCAGAATCTCCAACTCCCTGGACAAATATTTATAATAATAATATTATTATCCACAATGACTTGGTGAAACTCCTGGGCCATTCACAGCAGAAAAGATGAAAACCTCCAAGAGTCTGGATGTGTTGTTGAACTTGTTGAGTCCACGGTTTGTTAGGATCTTCTACGTTTGCTCTGCGGATGTTTGAAAGTCGTTTAATTCACTGTTAGTGGTTCTTTTCACTCAGAATACGAAAAAGACATTTTCCTTCTTCTGTGTTTCTATTTGTGCGTTCGATAATGCAGCAGGAATTTACCATCAGGGGGAAATACACGAGGTTACACACTGTGTTTGACGCTACCGTGTTTCTGCCTCCGAACTAAATATTTCCCAGCAGCAACGCGGGTTTTTAATAACAATGACGTCAGCTCAAACTCCACTATAATGATGATTTAAACACATAAAGTGAAATATAAACTTCCCAAATGAACTAAAGTTTATTCTGTGTCAAAACCTCTAGTGAGACACATGGAGGAGCCAGAGCTGCCCCGGGGCAGATAGACAGACACATGGCCGCGGCTCTGCTCCGTCAGACTCAGACTCAGACTCAGATAAACGTGTGTCCTGGAGTTATTTTTGTGTGACATGTACTTTTAAGATGAACTGGTCATGTATAAATACTTGATCTGCTCTCGTCTCATGACTCATGAAATCAGTGACAGCTCGTGATTTTAGAGACGCTCCGAGATTTCCCCCTGATCCCTGTGACCGACAACGGCACGCTATGACCGTTACCATGGAAACGCACGCACAACGCTGCAAAAAACCCCAACACCAAACCCCCAAAAGCCAAACCCAACACTTCACCAAACCAGGAACATCTTCAGTGACGAGTGTGAGATACTGGGCTTTAGGGACAGTGATTAGGCTCGTGTGTGTGTGTGTGTGTGTGTGTCTGTGTGTGTATCTGTGTGTGTGTGTATCTGTGTGTGTGTGTGTGTATCTGTGTGTGTGTGTGTGTATCTGTGTGTGTATCTGTGTGTGTGTGTATCTGTGTGTATCTGTGTGTGTATCTGTGTGTATCTGTGTATCTGTGTATCTGTGTGTATCTGTGTGTATCTGTGTGTGTGTATGTGTGTGTGTATGTGTGTATGTGTATGTGTGTATCTGTGTGTAAAGGTTCATGTCCTGGCACAGACTCTTGGACTTGAAGCTCCTCGTGTGTGTATCTGTATCTGTGTATCTGTGTCTGTATGTGTGTGTATGTGTGTGTGTGTCTGTATCTGTGTGTGTATCTGTGTGTATCTGTGTGTGTGTGTATCTGTGTGTGTGTATCTGTGTGTGTGTGTATCTGTGTGTGTGTGTATGTGTGTATCTGTGTGTGTGTGTGTATCTGTGTGTATCTGTGTGTGTGTGTGTGTATCTGTGTGTGTGTATCTGTGTGTATCTGTGTGTGTGTATCTGTGTGTATGTGTGTATCTGTGTGTATGTGTGTATGTGTGTGTGTGTGTATCTGTGTGTGTGTATCTGTGTGTATCTGTGTGTGTGTATCTGTGTGTGTGTGTGTATGTGTGTGTGTGTGTGTGTGTATCTGTGTGTATGTGTGTATCTGTGTGTGTGTGTATCTGTGTGTGTGTATCTGTGTGTGTGTGTGTGTATCTGTGTGTTTGTGTGTATCTGTGTGTGTGTATCTGTGTGTGTGTGTGTGTCTGTGTGTGTATGTGTGTATGTCTGTGTGTGTGTATCTGTGTGTGTGTATCTGTGTGTGTGTCTGTGTGTGTATCTGTGTGTATGTGTGTATCTGTGTGTGTATCTGTGTGTGTGTGTGTGTGATGTGTGTGTGTGTGTGTATCTGTGTGTGTGTGTGTGTGTGTATCTGTGTGTATGTGTATCTGTGTGTGTGTGTATCTGTGTGTGTGTGTGTGTGTGTATGTGTGTGTATCTGTGTGTGTGTATCTGTGTGTGTATGTGTGTGTGTTGTGTGTGTCTGTGTGTTGTCTGTGTATCTGTATCTGTGTGTTTGTATGTGTGTGTGTATCTGTGTGTGTGTGTGTATCTGTGTGTGTGTATCTGTGTGTGTGTGTATCTGTGTGTGTGTGTATCTGTGTATATCTGTGTGTGTATCTGTGTGTGTAAAGGTTCATGTCCTGGCACAGACTCTTGGACTTGGACCTGAAGCTCCTCGTGTGTGTGTGTGTGTGTGTGTGTATCTGTGTGTGTGTGTGTGTGTGTATGTGTGTGTATCTGTGTGTGTATCTGTGTGTGTGTGTGTGTATCTGTGTGTATCTGTGTATGTGTGTATCTGTGTGTGTGTGTATCTTTGTGTGTGTATCTGTGTGTGTAAAGGTTCATGTCCTGGCACAGACTCTTGGACTTGGACCTGAAGCTCCTCGTGTGTGTGACGGTGAATCGAGGCTGAATCGGAGCCGTGACCAGAGCCGCTTCTCCACAGACACACACATGATGAGCCGGAGCCAAACGTGTGGAGACTGAGGCATTTCAAAAATAAAATAAAATAAAATAAAAACACTGCTGCAGCTTCAGCTCAGGTTTAACCCTCCAGAGCCTCGTCTCCGCACAAAACACACACTTATCTTTGTTCTGTGAAGACAGTTGAGTCTCTTTGACCAGACTTACTACATTAAAACGAGTATCGAATATGAACTTTGTTTTGGTCAAACTCAGTCGCTCCGTCCATTTTGATTGGTCCAAACTAGGGACGGGCATTTGATGAAATCTTCTTAATCGATCATTGGAAGAATTAACGATCGATTATCGATTAATCATGAACGTTTTTCTATTAAAATGATCATCATTATTATTACTATCTGCACTAATCTGCATCAATAAATTCAACTTTACGACATATAAACATAACGACTCTAGATCCACATCAGCTGTTTGACATTATAATGTGTTTAATTCAGTTTTGTTCAAATCTCACAGAAACAAAACTTAAAACCACATCACTAATTTACATAAACTAAGTGAAGATAAAACTCCAGCTCTTGTGTCGCTGATGTGGTTCAACTTGTGTTGGATTAAAAGACATGACTCAGGTGAATACAGGTCAGTGTGACCAGATTTGTGTTTGTCAAAACCAGGACAGCGTACGGGGGGAGGGGGGCGGGGCCTCGTCATCCACATTGAGCGACTCTCACCTGGAAAAACTTTTTCCCACTGGACACAGAAACATATGTGCTGCTTTATCCACTGTGCACATGGACTCACAAAAAACAAAAAAATGAAATCTGAAAAACTCAAACAAGAATCAGATTTTAGTTTGAGATTCACGTTGACGCAAAATGTGATTTAAATCTGACGACGAACCTGAGCCCGAGGTCAGATGTGTGTGTGTTTGTGTGTGTTTGTGTGTGTGTTTGTGTGTGTGTGTGTGTTTGTGTCACACTCACGTCGGAGTCGGAGTCGGAGGAGGAGGAGGAGGATGAAGAGTCGCTGGAGCTGTCTGAGGCGATTCCCGTCGACTCCTGAAGATCCACTCTGTCTGCGAGAGCCGCCAAGTCCGGACGCTCCTGTTTCAAGATCCTACAGAGACCAGAACCGGGACTTAACCGGGACTGAGCCGGGACTGAACCGGGACTGAACCGGGACTGAGCCGGGGCTGAGCCGGGACTGAACCGGGACTGAACGGGACTGACCGGGACTGAGCCGGGACTGAACCGGGGACTGAACCGGACTGAACCGGACTGAACCGGGACTGAACCGGGACTAAGAGCAGTATTATGGTCTCACCTGTACCACTTTCGGGAGAGCTTTGGTCGCCCTCGGACGGTTTTGTGCCAGACGATGGGGAAGTTTGTGGAGCTGGCGAAATTCTGCGTCACAGCGATGGTCGTGTCCAGGTTCAACACCACGTGCCACCAACCTCCTGACAAACACACCATCACGTAAGAGCGGCTCAAAAGAACCATGATTCACCAGGACCTGCACTAGACCGAGACCAGTCTGAGACCACAGGGTCCCGAGACCAGGACAAGACCGAGACTTTTAAAGGTCGAGACCGAGACGAGACCGAGACGAGACCGAGACGAGACCGAGACCACGACCCATCGAGACCAAATCAAGACCATCTTTGTCATTTTCTATATTCATTTGTATTTTACAGTATTTATTTACAATTTTGTCACATTTATATCAATGTTTTTATAAATCTATCTCCATTTGAGCTGATCCATGTTCATTTAGGGCAGTGCTTCTCAATTATTTTCTGTCATGCCCCCCCTAGGACGAATAAAACATCTCGCGCCCCCCCGCGTGACTATAAATAGTATCATTTGTCTATAAAATAGTTCTAAGTGCACCTCTGCATAACACTGCCACCTTATATGACGCCAACAACGCTCGCTGGTTTACTGAAGTAGCAGTCACAAAGCGGGATGATTGTCGGCAATATTCAGCACGTTTTCGCTGAAAAATCTCAAGCGGCTTATCAGAGTGATCGGGGTGTAATGTATTTAAGTGACGCCTTAATTTATTGGGCTTCATGCTGTCGGCTGCCAACATTTTTAGACACAGTAAGCACACCGGTCTTTCCTCGTCTCCCACCGTAGTCACAGTGAAGCCAAGCGCTACATACGCTTCGTCATATTTCCTCGTCTTAGCTTTCGGGAGATTTTCGTTTGTCTCTTTATCTCCGTCTCTCTCCGTCTGTCTTCTCATCCCTGTTAAATATTTTTTCATGGTGTCACTTGAGGGTCTGCTACACTTCGTGTCTACACTTCATACTCAAACTCTGTGCTGTGTGCAAAGCGCGCATGCTCAGTGCAAACAAAACTCCTACACCACCGAGCGAATGCTCCCTGCGCACACTCTGCCAATGAGAGCGCTCTGCCCCCTAATGTAGTGGAAGTGCAATTGCACTTTATTCTAAAGGCCCGTTCAGACCAAAGCGTCAAAGTGTCCACTTTCAATGTAAAGTCTATGTGGACGCGCGACTAGAGCGTCCTGCGTTTTTGCGGCGCGTTTTCGGCGTCAGCGCGGCGCGAATCAGGCGTCAGCGCAGCGCGTCTTCAGCGTTTTGGCGTCAGCGGCCAAGACGCGCGTCCAAGGCGTCAGCGTCAAGAAGTTGAAAATGCTGAACTTTTCGCGTCAGACGCGCCGCGTCAACCAATCAGGGACGAGTATCCAGAGACGCAGCGACGTTATTATCAGGAAGAAAAACCCCAGAACCAGAACCACAAACATGAGCGGAGAATAAATATATACACCACAATCACCGAGCCGATCGCGAGGACTACACCAGGACCGGACCAGGACCAAACCAGGACTAGACCGAGACTAGACCGAGACTAAACAAGGACTAGACCGGGACTAGACCGTGATTAGACCAGGACTAGACCGGTATTAGACCAGGACTAGACCGGGACTGATCCAGTGTCATTAGTGGAGTATAAATATATATACGCCCCAGTCGTCGACCCGATCTCCTCCGTTGATGTTTTATGTCATAAAAACACTCTCTCAGTCTGGTCTGACATTGTTTCGGGAAAAGACCGGGACCGGGCTCTTGTTTCCAGGGCAACGGACGCGCGTCAAGTATTTTTGTCCCGTTCGTCCACGGCGTCAAAGACGCGCGTCGGGGGCGTCTAAACTCAAATGCAAAGGCTCCAAATAGAGACGTCAAGGCGTTTTTTGACGCTTTGGTGTGAACGGCCCTTAAGACAGTTAAAAAAAATCTAAATAAAAAAATAAAAAAGCATGCTCCCCGAGGTCAAACGCGCCCCCCTTGACGGAGCCTCGCGCCCCCCCAGGGGGGGCCCCACTATTTGAGAAGCACTGATTTAGGGTTAACATAATCCAAACTATCTGTTCTGCACTTAAACACACTGTGCCCCTTTTTTGGACGCCTGTGACTCTTCTTTAAGTTTTGGCAAAACTGAACAAAGTCAAGAAAATGGGTTGGACTTTTGTTTTTTCGCCTGCAGTTACATTTAGTTACTGGTTTTTCGTGTGGAGTTTTTCATGTGGGGACTTTGGCCTGTGGATTTTCGCATCTGGATGTTTGTTTTGCGTGCGGGCTTTTCTTTTGCGTGTAGATTCGGCGTGCGGACTCTCACCGGGCACGAACACGGTCTCTCCGGGCTTCTGCAGGATCTCCAGCGGTCTGAACTCCGGGGGCCACGTGGGCTCCTGCGTTCGGGGGTAGATGACGTTGAACCAGGTGATGGCCTCGTCCTGCTGGTTTCCGCCGTCGTCGCGCGTCACTTTGATGAGTTCTCGCGGCGTGTGCGTGGGAAACAGACACCAGCGCTTGTGTCCCTGCACCAGAGCGTTCCACGCAGACGTGCCCAGAGGGTCGATGTGTATGCCCGTCCCAGAGCGGGCAGGACCCATCACGAACCACCTGAAGACAAAGACCAGGACTGAGACGCAGACCGGGACTCAGACGCAGACCGGGACTGAGACGCAGACCGGGACTGAGACGCAGACCGGGACTGAGACGCAGACCGGGACTGAGACGCAGACCGGGACTGAGACGCAGACCGAGATTGAGACACAGACCGGGACTGAGACACAGACCGGGACTCAGACACAGACCGGGACTGAGACGCAGACCGGGACTCAGACGCAGACCGGGACTGAGACACAGACCGGGACTGAGACACAGACCGGGACTCAGACACAGACCGGGACTGAGACACAGACCGGGACTCAGACACAGACCGGGACTGAGACGCAGACCGGGACTCAGACACAGACCGGGACTGAGACACAGACCGGGACTGAGACACAGACCGGGACTCAGACACAGACCGGGACTGAGACACAGACCGGAGACAGACGGACGACACAGACCGGACTGAGACACAGACCGGGACTCAGACACAGACCGGGACTGAGACAGACCGGGACTGAGACAGACGCAGACCGGGACTCAGACGCAGACCGGGACTGAGACGCAGACCGAACTGAGACGCAGACCGGACTGAGACGCAGACCGGGACTCAGACGCAGACCGGGACTGAGACGCAGACCGGGACTGAGACGCAGACCGGGACTGAGACGCAGACCGGGACTGAGACGCAGACCGGGACTGAGACGCAGACCGGGACTGAGACGCAGACCGGGACTGAGACACAGACCGGGACTGAGACACAGACCGGGACTCAGACACAGACCGGGACTCAGACACAGACCGGGACTGAGACACAGACCGGGACTGAGACACAGACCGGGACTGAGACACAGACCGGGACTCAGACAGGGAACCAGGACTAGACCAGGACTGAGACTGAGACCAGGACTGGACCAGGACTGGACCGGGACCAAAACCGGGACCAAAACCGGGACCAAAACCGGGACCAAAACCGGGACCTAAACCGGGACCTAAACCGGGACCTAAATCGGGACCTAAATCAGGACCTAAACCGGGACTAAACCAGGACCTAAACCGGGACCTGAACCGGGACCTGAACCGGGACCTGAACCGGGACCTGAACTGGGACCTGAACAAGGACTGAACAAGGACTAAACCAGCACTAAACCAGCACTAAACCAGGACCTAAACCAGGCCTGGACCGGGACTGAACAAGGACTAAACCAGCACTAAACCAGCACTAAACCAGGACCTAAATCAGGACCTAAACCAGGCCTGGACCGGGACCGAACCAGGACTAGATAGGGCCTGAACTAGGACTAAATTAGGACCTGAATCAGGACCTAAACCGGGGCTAAACCCGGACTAAACCAGGACTGGACTGGGACTGAACCAGAACCTAAACCAGGCCTGAATCGTGACTAAAGCAGGAATGAACTTGGACTAAAGATGGGAGGGCATCTGACACAGAGGGACATGAACCTGTACGGGGGTCTTCGTTTCTCTCCTGCGAACTGAAACAGGTCGTCGGTGAAGAACACGGGGACGGCGTAGTCCTCGAGCAGTTTGCGTCTCTTGGCGTGCTCGCCGTAGCTGCTGTCGAAGATGTAGAGGGGGCTGTCGTCGCGCGTGCTCTCCAGATACTCCACGTAGTACTTCATCTTCATCTTCACCGAGTACCCGTCGTTGTCCTCGCCGCATTTGAACTTCTGGTTGCGGTATTTCCGTTTGAGGCGCTCCAGAGTCCACTTCTCCTTGGCGGGCCACGCCTCCTGACAGTTCAGCAGCACCACGGGCTTGTACGGACGCTCGAACCTCTGGATGAACTCCTCCGGGCTGATGCGAGACGCGTCCACTCGCTCCACGTTGTCCTGGAAACAAACGAAGACAAACAGTGACGAGGACGAATGTAAACGTTTAAACAGGACCGTCGAACTCACTCAAATCAAATACGGTGAAATCAAAACGTTAAAAGTCTCAATAATATCGTGGAACAAACAGAATCACAAACTCCTGAACCTTAACGCAGTGTTTTAGGCAGCAGCTAAACAAACAGAGGAAACTACATAGACCATGATCCTTTGCTCTGACTCAGCGCAAACAACAAATAAGCACAGAGTTCTTTAAATTATGACAGCAATGCCAAAAAAATCTAAAATATTATGACATTAAGACCAGATAAACATTTAGATGCACTGAATGGACTTAATAGTTTTGGAGAACTGAAAAAGGTTCAACTTTGCTTCTAAAATAGATTTATTACGATTATTATTTTTAGCTTTTAGGATTATATTGTGGCCTAAAATATCACGAGTATCGATTAACTGAATATTCTTCACATTTCTGGTAAAAATGGCTAAATTAAAAACACCACATTCAGTGTCAAAAACTGAAAACTTCTGACTCAATAATATGGAGAGAGTTTTGTTGGAAGAATTTGGTCAGGTTTTTTAAAACAGCAGTCCAGGAAAGACACTACACCAAATCATCAAACTGTTGGAGGCGACGCGGTGAACTGGAGGCAAATCACTGCCGTATATATTTTAGACGTGTCCTCATATTCTTCCATTTTGGAGAGAAATTCATAAATCATTAGAAACTGTGTTCTGTATCGACCGTTTCGACTTGAAACGATGAACCTGAGTTTCCTGATGGTGAAAATGTGCCGTATAAAGTCAAATACCTGTTCCAGATTTTGAGTGCAGCTGCTGGGAAATTATAACCAGGAAACGGTTTAATCCACAAACACCAACACTGGACGAACAGTTTGAGATTGTTTATGATATTTTTAAGATGCTGCAGAGAATAACTTAGCATAAGACTGCAACAAGACAAATTTGAAAGCAAATGGAAACCGTGGATTGAAAATATAAATACTGTGAGACCGGACTTTGTTTGACCCATTACTTTGTTTTTCTTGCAATTGGCTGTAATAATTATTATTCATTATTATTATTATTTTTATTATTTATTTTTTTTTTATTATTGGTGACGTGTTTCAGTGACGTGTTTCGGTGACGTTGTTCGGTGACGTGTTTCGGTGACGTTGTTCGGTGACGTGTTTCGTGACGTTGTTTGGTGACGTGTTTCGGTGACGTTGTTTGGTGACATGGTTCGGTGACGTGTTTCGGTGACGTTTTGGTGACATGGTTCGGTGACGTGTTTCGGTGACGTTGTTTGGTGACATGGTTTGGTGACGTGTTTCGGTGACGTTGTTTGGTGACATGGTTCGGTGACGTGTTTCGGTGACGTTGTTTGGTGACGTGTTTTGGTGACGTTGTTTGACGTGTTTCGGTGACGTTGTTTGGTGACGTGTTTGGTGACGTGTTTCGGTGACGTTGTTTCTGTGACGTTTCGGTGACGTATTTCGGTCTAAAACAAAATAGTCCTGTTTTAGTCTTGGTTTAGTTCTGTTTTAGTCCTGATTTAGTCCTATTTTAGTTTTGGTTTAGTTCTGGTTTTAGTTCTGTTTTAGTCTTGGTTTAGTCCTGTTTTAGTCTTGGTTTTAGTTCTGGTTTTAGTCCTGTTTTAGTCCTGATTTAGTCCTATTTTAGTCTTGGTTTTAGTCCTGTATTAGTCCTGTATTAGTTCTGGTTTTAGTCCTGGTTTTAGTCCTATTTTAGTCTTTGTTTAGTTCTGGTTTTAGTCCTGTTTTAGAATTCACGCTGTTTTAATAAAAATATCCTGGTGTTTTGAGTGTCCATCGCCTACGTGCAGATTCGCACTCTTCCGGCACGTTAGCCGCGTTAGCCACATTAGCCACATTAGCTCCGTTAGCTCCCGGAGCCGCCTCTCCCCCCCGTGTCTCCCCCGGCGCCCGTCGCCTCTCTCCCGGGGACAGTACCTTCACGCTCCGGTGCGACAGGTCGAAGGTGTCGTGGTATCCGTGTCTGATCCAGTCCGCGGAGTCCTTCAGCTCGGGCCTGGCGCTGCGCTTCGCCTCTTTGATCCGCTTCTTACTTTTGTGGTTCATTTCTGTTCAGTTTAAAGACTCAGAGTTAGCACCGTTTGTTAGCACTGTTTTTTTGGTTTTTTGTTGTTGTTAAATTTCAAATATATAATGTAATATACAATGGTATAAACAAAGAACATTGCTGGAGGCTTAAGAGTTCATAAACTCACACGGCTCAATTAACGCACTGAATAACACACATAAATAACACTCATCACAGTGTAAATATATAAATCTACATGTGCAAATAAATACATTCATATTTCATACAAAGCGCTTTTGTCTTCAAGGCTTTGTGCAATAATTGAGAGAATTTATATTTTAAGAGTCAAGACTGAAACACGACAGATTTGGGTTTGTGACTTAGAAAATTTACAGCAATAAATATGAAACTTTGACAGGATTAAGTTCAACACACAGATTTTTTTTTTGGCAGGAATATTTTTCTCAAAGACGCCCAAAGAGAACATGTTTTATATTAAATTGTAGGTTTGTATCGAGCTTTTTTATTCACTAATAAAAATATTCCAAAAGATTCTGTTAGCTCCGTTAGCTCCGTTAGCCTCTGGAGCTACACCGCGCTCAGCCTCCACACTTAGCCGCGCTAGCCTCGCTGCTTACCGGCTTTTCCCAACTCCCCCGCCTCCTTTACCAACTCCCCCGCCTCCAAACCCGGGTGATACGGGTGATACGGCTGTGTGTGGCTCGTGTGCGGCTCGTGTGCACCTCTCCCCCCGTGTGTGGACACTTTTACGGGCGCTGCTCCGGTTAAACTGGGATAAAAAGCCCCGGAGAGTCGCGCCGTTAGCGCCGTTAGCTCACACTTAGCACAGTTAGCTTCACACAAAATGCTTCTGTAAAGAGTTTGACAGCGCAGGCTCCCGCCCCCCTCAAATACCACGCCGCTGATTGGTTAGCGTCCCGAGCGGTCCGCGCGCTGATTGGATAGGACTCTTCCCGCCACGCTCTGATTGGCTGCGGACCGCCTCTTTCTTTTGTTATGGGCTGAAGGCGGAAGTGGATTTCAGCGTGGGTTCTACTGGGGGAAAAATGCGCGACACAATCTGAAAATGTGACATAAATGATCCTTTTTCAGAGACGTTATGGCCGAAAGTGAAGCGGAATCCTCGAGTTTAGCGTTTAAAGTTTTCACATTTAAAGATGACCGTGAAAACTCGCAGGAATCTTTGAGCGTGACCATCCCAGAGGTGAATTTACTGTTTAAATAAAGAAAAACATGTTATGTCATTGTTTTTAATATTTTATCAGACATTTTAATTGTTGTAATTAACTGTATCAAAGCTGCTGTCTTGGCGTTTAGCTTTTACTGCTGGAAAGTAGAATATTTTAGGCTCAAAAAAATTTTTGTCCAAATGTAAGAATAGTTTAGTGTTATTTTAAATGCCCTTCTGTCCTGTGTCCCTGTGAGTCAGATGCCCTCCCGTCCTCCTGTACCCGGGTGGGGAGTCAGTTATTGGTGGCAACAGTAGGTTTTGTGGATTGTTTAGGGAAACCAGACGTCCCTGTTGACCCGAGACAATCTCTGTGTCTCCTGTCCCAGTGGATCTAAACAAAACCACTGATTTGTCCCAAGAAATGTCCCAGTGTCTCTATTTTTGACCAGTCTGATCCTGACAACAGTAAAGAGAGACACAGACTGACATTTGTTTGGGTAAAATACAGAAAATCTGAGTGCAGAACAGTTTTCTTTAACTCTGCACTCGAGTCATTATTTTATTATCACCAACCTCCACACAGCAGTTTGTCCCAGTTTTTATTTTAAAAATGTGCTCACTTTAGCTTTGTTATTTTTTTGTGTAATATTTTTTTGAGTTTTTTGTGTTGAGTCTGATCTGGGGTCAGATCTCAGACGCTCAGAGTCTGGACCTGATGGAGACTCTGAAACATCAGGAGCCACAGGAGGAGCCAGAGATAAAAACTGTTGTTGTGTCCTTAGGCAAGACACTTCACCCACATTGTCTAGTGTGAAAGTGGAGTGGGAGGGGCAGATTGACAGACTTGCTTTCATTGGTCTGTTCCAGGGCAGCTGTGGCTACAGTAGGAGTTTAACCCCAGAGTGTGAGAGAAAGACTAACGCTCTGTAAAACATCTTTGTGACATGAGTTTGTGAAAAATACTATAGAAATAAAAACTGACTTAATATAAATACTCACGTTTGTATCGTTGAGTGTAAAATGCTCCACGGAACCTGTTCAAACTGCAGTTTTGGATTTTACTTCTTTGGAAACATAAACATGTATTTTTACTTGAATGTTTCTAACTGAGCTGCAGATTCTAAAGTGTCATATTTATGCTCCAGATCACAGTTTTAACAAAGCCCATTTTCCCATTGAAATACATTATAATGAAACTACACGAAAACTATTGAGCCACTCTGCATTTATCATACTGGAAAAATCTGTGTTTTTACCAACAGAAAATGTGGTCTTTTTATGATGAAATAGTATTTAAAGGGTTAAAATCATTAAAAAATATATTCAACATAGTTTATATAAAATGTAGATCAGAAGAGTTTGAAACAGAGTGACCAGATTTTCAAAATAAAAAACTGGAACATCCTCAGTTTCATGGTGGTTGGTGATAATAAAATAGTGAATTGAGTTTGTAATTAAATTACTCTGCACTCGGCCCATTCATGATGAACATGAGTCAGTAGAGTCACATTTTCTTTGTGTTTTGTCATTTTTAAGCAGATTTTCTGTATTTTACCGAAACAAATGTCAGTTTCTCTTTACTGTTGCAGGGTCAGATTTGTCCAAAACAGAGACACTGGGACATTTCTTGTGTAAACTGGGACAAATCAGTGGTTTTATATAAATCTGTTGGGACAGAGACACAGACTCAAAACTGGGACTGTCCCGGGGAAACGGGACGTGGTTCGGCGACACGTAGGTGACGTGGTTCGGTGACTCTTCGGTTTTCGGTTTCTGTGACATTTCAGTGATGTAGTTTGGAGACATGTTTCGGTGTCGTTTCAGTGACGTGGTTCAGTGACGTGTTTCGGTAACGTGTTTCATTAACATGTTTCGGTGACGTGTTTCAGTAACGTTGTTCGGTGACGTTGTTCGGTGACGTGTTTCAGTGACATGTTTCAGTGTCGTTTCGGTGACGTGTTTCAGTGTGTGTTCGGTGAGTGTTTCGTGTTTTCAGTGTCAGTTCGGTGAACGTTTCCGGTAACGTTGTTTGGTGGCGTGTTTCGGTGACGTGTTTCGGTGACATGTTTCGGTAACGTGTTTTCGGTATTGATGCTTGTTCAATTATGACACACACCCTTTTAAAATTCCTTTTTCAAATGTTTAGAACGCCCTAATTTTTCCAGTTATTTATTGCAATTCAAGTCGTGCAAGTCCAATGAAGATACTTTAAATTCTTGGGATCTTTTTAAAGACATTGCGGTAAAGTGTGTTTATCTTGTTGATGTGTTTCTCTGCGGCTGCGAGCCATCTTCAGAACTGTCACCGGTGTTGGTGGTGACGTGTCGTATATCAGCTGTTGTCACTTCCTGTAGGCGTGGTCAGCCTGATGGACCTGGCAGGCCGAAACATGTCAACAAGGTAAGCACACTTTACTGCATTGTCTTTAAAAAGAACCCAAGAAGTTAAAGTATAAAAGAAGACAAAACATCTTTGGCTTAAGTCCAGTGAAGAGCTTGACAAAGGTAAGAAATGAACAAACAGAACAGAGGTTAAAAAAGATAAAAGAACAAAACAAGTCCAAGTTCTGCCAAAACTACCTCAGGAAAAAAAGAACAAGATGGTGAACTTGAAAACATGGAGTGTCCAGACTTAAACCCCATCGAGCTGGTTTGGGATGAACTGGACAGAAGAGTGAAAGCCAAGAAACCTACAAGTGCCACACATTTATGGAAACTTCTGCAACAGACTTGGGAAGAACTTTCTGAGGAATATTTGTTTTCTATTGTAAAAAGAAAAAGCAGTGTTCAGCTGTTACATCTGCCAAAGGTGGACACTTTCATCAATCAAAAGAATACGTTTTGGTCAACAGTAAACAGTAACAAATCTGGAAAAAATGTGGTCTTCTAAAACTTTTGATAGTGTAGTATATATTTGTGTTGTATTTAGGCTGACCAGACATCCCTATTTACCCGGGACAGTCCCAGTTTTGAGCCCTGTGTCCCCTCTCCCAGCAGATTTATCGAAAACCAGTGATTTATCTCAGTTTTATACAAGAAGTGTCCCAGGTGTCCCTATTTTCAACCAACCTGATCCCTGCCAACAGTAAAAAGAATCACAGACTGTTATTTGTTTAGGTAAAATACAGAAAAGCAGCTTAAAAACGACCAAAACACAAAGAAAATGTGACTATACCAACTCACATTAGTGCCAAGTGCTGAACAATTTTCCTTACTGGTATCACAGTTTTAATAGTAACAACCAAACCAGGGATGTCCCAGTTTTTTATTTTGAAAATCTGTTCACCATAATTGTATTGTTTATTTGCCGCACAGTGGTTAACCCTGTGAAATTGTTTTTTTTTTGCATTGGACCCGTCCTTCAGTGTGTCTGGGGCATCTCTTCAGGACCCGTCTGTGTTCTTGTTGCTAGTCTTGGTCAGGATTACCTCAGCTGGACGACTGCTTTTGCACTGGGCACGTTTTGGGTTGATGGGAGGGACCTGACTATGATAGGGTGACCAAACGTCTGTTTTTCCTCGGACATGTCTGTTTTTTGCGTCCTGTCCTGGGCATCCGTTTTTATTTTTTTGTGTGTGTGTTTTTTTTTTAAAGTGATGGAAATGTCCGGGTTTTCATTACCGTTCATTGGGGCCATTAAATTGCACTCAGAAGGAGCGAGCAGACACAAACAGTCGGTCAGTCTGCAACATGTTGAAGCTCAAATGTGCATTTAACGATAATTTGTACAAGAAATTGTGTCCGTTTTCCGGTGTGGTACAGGATTTTGACCCCGTGGTGAGCTGACCTCGGGGTCTACATACCATATAGTATTTTGACCCCGGGGTCAGAATCCTATTATGGTAATGTTGACCCCCCTATGAAAATCTATATTTTATTAATAAAGCACTTGAATTCTATAGAAAAACTTTGAATATTAATACTATATCTGCAAATTAAAACATACTGACATACTTAACCCCCCAATGTGTGTATTATAGTTATGATGATGTAAAGTAAGAAGTAATGTTAGTTGAATATTGACAATAATAAATTATATATAATGGAAGTCAAAATCCTATGGCTATAGTAATGTGACCCCCCAATATGTTTATTATAGTCAGATATTTTCAAGTGGCTCACCTACATACGTTACATTTATACAAAATACCAAGTGGTTATCCATCAAAACATTCATTAAAATACATTAAAAGAAAGTGAATATGTAGCAATATATAATAAAAGTAAATTACATGAGAAATAATGATCAGATAAGTAACTACTAAAGAAAAAAGTAAGGAGAGTCAATGGGGGGGAGGGTCACTTTACTACACCGAGGTCAATATACAATGGGGGTCAAAATACTATCTCACACCGGCCCAGTTAGGAAAAGTGGGAGGCCACGTGCACAGGTTGGGAGGTGAGAGTAGCTCAATGTCGAGGCCCCACCCCCCCATCCTCGGTAAAGTGTCCGGGTTTTCACAAACGGAAACATGGTCAACCTCAGAAATTCACGCAGACACAAAAGAGAACACACAAACTCCTACAAATAAACGGCAAACTCCTCGCACAAAGGCCAAGGCGGTCTAGTCATCGAACCTGGAACCTTCTCGCTGTGAAGCATGTGTGCCAGTGATTTATTGATCGCTGTATTTTATTTTTTGCTTGTACCCTGAAACGAACTTGCTGTTCCACATCTTTATCGGTGTACAGTGACTTTTCCGTAGTGGACTGACATGGGATCAATCCAACCGCCAGGCGCTCGCGTATGTGGAACTCTGTCTTTACCAACAACCTCCATACTGTCAATCATTAGACAACAGCTGTACCACCTCGTTTTTTTGCCAACCACAACAGCTGCGATTTTATTCCCAGACAAACACCGAACACAAAAGACCGTGTCCAGTCCACTCTGCCGTCTCCGCACTGTCCCCGTCACTTACTCCTCTGCTCTTTCGTGGTCATATTTTAACCTGTCTGATCCAGAAGGCTGCGTCTCGGTGTCGACTCATTTCCATGCGAGATCTTGCAGGGCCGGGCTGTGCTCCCGCGCTCCCACACGGCGACGTGACAGGTCCGGGCGCATTAGAGAGCGGCCGCATGCATATTTATGGGCATATGCGGTACGGCCATATGCGGCGCAGGCGGGGGGGCTGTACCGGGCTCACATACGGGAGCAGTGTGCGAGACCGTGTGAAGCAGAGGAGAGAGGGGAGAGAGGGGGGCGTCTCTTCTAGCAGCAACTAGCATGCTAACAGCGCACCAGTCTTTGTTTACAGAGGATTAAACGCTTCACTGATACGGATTATTCTGTGCTTTTTTTTTTAACCAGTGGCACAGTCAGCAATTTGGGGGCCCTAGGTGAACTTGAGTTTGGGGCCCTCATAATAATGCACTTTTTTTTGTTTTGTTTTGTTTTATATATATATTTATCTGTGTGTTAAGTCTGTTTTTCCCCATTGTTCTCTATTTATTTGAATTAGGTTGGTTTGGAAACTTGCCTTATTAGTTTGAACTTTTTTTTTTTACTAGTACAGTTACATTTTAGTTTACATCCATTACATATTATATGATTATTATTTTTCTTATGACTGTTGTTTAAAAGTAAATTACTCTCATTTAATGTCATATTGAGAGAAATTAAAATTGCACTGAGGCATCTGAATGAAATTGGTTGGGGGCCCCTCCAGGTTTGGGGGCCCTAGTCAGCCACCTACTTTTGCCTAATGGTCGCACCGCCTCTGGTTTTAACACAATCTGACCAGAAAGAACTGATTTTAGCTGGAGCAGGTGAGCTCATCTGTGCTGTTAAAAATGTTTCTCTGATAACATTGCGGTCACAGGCTAGATAACTTGCTTTTTTGTCGAAAATCAAACTACTAAACAAGTACCATGAACACTCAAACTCAGAAGCTCCTGAGAAAAATGTGTTCTTTAAATCCATTTTCTGTAAATTTTTTAGACAACCTTCACTTTTTTGGCAGTGTTTGCTAATGCGTGCATTGCATCACCATGGTAACTTCTGAACTGCTGAATTAGATGCAGGCAGTACACAGAACCTAATGATAAAATCTATGTACTGGGTCAAACCACACTGTTATTACTGTATTTTTCAGACTATAAGTCGCTTTGGAGTATAAGGCACACCAGCCAAAAAAATGCATAATGAAGAAGAAAAAAACATTTATAAGTGGTACTTTTAGGGGGAAATTTATTTAATAAAATCACAGACCAGGAACCGACATTTCGTGTGGAAAGTCAAGTTCTAGTAATAATAACAACAGAACAGAGAACAACAGACTGTTAACTGTTAACATATGAACAGTTCTTCAGATAAACTCTAACATCAACAATAGAACAAAACAAGTTTACCAAACTCTACATCTCACTCCAAAATCCAATGAATTCTTTACCCTCGGTGTCACTTCTGAGCAATTCCGCCACCTCTGGAGGTAAACAGAGCGCCACCTCCTCTTCTGTGTGTAGTTGTTGTCAGTCAGACTCAGCATCAGTTCCAGTTACAATTATTCTGGATCCCGACAGGATGGAAAATTTTAATATATACATCACACCTGAGTATAAGTGGCAGGAAACACCCAAACCATGAAAAAAGTGTGACTTATAATCCAAAGAATGTGGTACATGTGAAAACAGTGACCTTAAAACAGTTGCTTTAAAACCATGATTTCTGAATATGGGGGAAAGAATGGTGATACAGTTTTCATCACATTTCCCAGCTGTACCTTGTTGTCATAGCAAAAAACCATAACATTCTCATCCAAATCCCTTAATGATGAAGCCAGTTAAGAATTTAATTCCTCACTAATTATTCTTACAACACTTTGCTAGTTATTAAAGGTCTTATATTAGGCAAAACTGACTCTTGAGGGCCTTAAGCCGTGTTATAATGCTGTTACCTCCTGAAACGAATACCCACAGTTGTTTCGTTTTGTTCACCCATTTGAATAACTCTTTACTGTTAGTCTGTCTACATCTCCAAACTCAAAATGTTCTGTTCCACCTTGTGATGTCAT